CATCTCCAACAACACAGCAACCAAAGAGTGAAAGACGGGTCATCAGGAAACATGCTCATGCTCGAGGGACCAATATTGTTATCACTGTATAAACACGTCACACAGTCTACAGGTCTCATTGAAGAGCACTGTTATGCATTATTCTTAATTATTAATGGATATATATATGTGTGTGTGTGTGTGTGTGTGTGTACGAGGGGCAGTCAACAGTGTGTGCGCTATCTTATCGCTCATTCTTCATCTGCAGGGGAATTCCGGGAACTTTTTGACTGACCTACGTATAACAGTTATAAGAGTGTGGCATCATTGTGACTGAAAAATAAATTCTTATTCAGTGAAACTCATTGTAGTGACGCAAGGAACACTGTGAAAATGTGATCCAAAAGCAGCTAGCTTCAAAGTTTAACCTACAAAAAACCTACTGTCGTTAACATATACTGAACACAGTGTCTCACAAGAAGAAAAATTAAAAGTTGGAAGGTTTAGCACCCTAAGGTAAATTATTCTACTTCTTACACTCATGAAATGCTTTCACTTTAACTGATTGTTTAGAATAATATTTATACTGCAGCAAGTGCTAACTTCCACAACTTCTTTGGAATGATACACCATGTTTTACAGAATACAGTATGGACATATTTGGTGATAGCACAATTACACTATGATCATGAAATGCTTAATGAAAAGTAATATTTTACTTGTATGCAAGCAAGAGAAAAATCTCTGCCCATAGTCAGTTTACTGAAAGCTATCTGAACTCATGAACATGGAGCATTTCAATTAATCAAGCTGCTTACATTAACAGGTGTAGCAGAAGGTTAATTCATTAATCATATATATTTGCAGCCCTTAACTGGAAAACTCTTCATGGTTACTTCTTGTATATGACTATCTACAGTTACCACAACAAATTCTCTTATACAAGAAGTAATCTTTATCGTGTACACTATGGTTCTGAATTCCAATCATGATCTGATCTCTTATTTTTACATAATATCTCTCAAACAGAAAAGGCTTTTTTTTTTTCCAAAATCTAAGACTCAAGTTTTTTCTTTAATTGATTATTTAAACATCCAGTCACTATCAAGACTATATAGGAGTGGCAGTCTGTTCTACCCTGAAGCCAGAAGCAGGTTTCTCCAAAATATTTAAGCACCTATAAAAACCCAGGCATTTAGCATTAAGTTGATGGTGTACTAGATAATGTTTAGATAGAAAAGTTCACTGTACACGTCGAGTTTGGCAACAAGAAAAGTAGCTTCCTAAAGAGATACACAAATGTGGAATAAAGAGGAACGATGAAAGCATCATTCAACACAATATTATTTTAAGACTTTGTATTTTAACATCTTTATAGTAAATATTATAATATAGTAATATCATTTGTTCAGTTCCTCAGTTACTGTCCTCACATAATACAATAAGACTCCTTTTTAAATGATGCACTTTGCAGTTAAACCTCTTGCTCTAAAGGTCCCATATATCTATATAAATATATATATACATTTAATAGCACCTCCTCACCTCCTACCCCCAACGATCTGTTATGTGGAAAAGTTTACCCTAATTAAAATATGAACCAATATTTCACAGGAGTTCTATAAAAAATATAAAATGTAAAATCATGTAAACAAATGTGGAACATACTGAAAACGTAACTTCGATTTTTGACACACAGTACTTTGCTACTCTTACAAATGCATAACTAAAAGACAGAATGTAACAACAATAATTTGAAATGCCCATAAATTGACATACATTTCACAGAAAAGTTCTTGAGGGAAATTCTGCACTTATTTCTGGGACAGCAGATAAACCAGCAGTTAACTTCAACATGACAGCTGGTTTGCATGTTGTAAAAAAGCTTGAACTATACGACACCATGCAGTCTTCTAAGTGGTAAAAATAGAAGAAAACTTATTCTTATGGTGTTTTTCTCTCATTAGACCATCAGTCTTTCATGTCGGGTAATGGGATTGGGCCCATATTTATAAATAGACCTAAAAACGACTTCGTTTTAGGAACTGACACATCAGACCATCTACTCCAAATGGACCTTGGGCTAAGCTGAACTTCCAAAATTTTGTCTTGCATACCTTTCAATGTTATTCAAAAGCTCTGTGCTCTGCATCTGGTTGGTTAAATTGTGGCCCTGCATTTTTAGTAAATGTGTATGCTTTGGTTTCTTGTCACCCAGTGTCATTTCTTCTCACCCATCAATATGGACAACATTTGTCTCACTCTCAAACTCACTTTCTGATTATGCGTTGCTTGATTCTTCACTCACACTTTGTCCTTCATTTTCCAAATTCATCTCATCATCAGAGTCTATATCGAGTTCTTCATTTAACATATCACTAATGGATTCTCCATCCTCAACACATACGGGATTATGTTTCCATTTTTTCATGCGAGAAGGCAGACATCTGCAAGTATGTAAAGACATGTGGATAACACTGATGTGAAGTAATATATAAATGGCATTCATTCCTCAAGAAATTCATGACTTCCAGATGGCAGAAGGCAAACAAAATATTCATGACTGTGTTGGTATAGTATACAGTGCCAAATAACGATATATGATTGACATATGACTGCAAAAACTCAAAACAAACTTTGTCGATCATATTTCGACATTCGTCTATGGAAGCACTGTCACCATGTCGATTATATATCGACATCCGAATGGAAAGGATTGGAGGAGCTACTCTGCTGGTTTGTCTAATAATACCATTATTTCCACATTTTTAGACCCCTGTCAAACCTTCTGAAGTTGAAGAAATCCATCTTCTTGACAATCATGACACATATCATTTTAAACAGCTGTGCATCTGAAGTTGTAACTGTGATGGTTACTTTTTCTCCACACACATCAAACAAAGAGCAGCCTCTTGACCTCACAGCATATGGGCCGTTTTATAACTTTTTATAACCACTGCTCCTCAAATGCTTACCATTCGAACAATGTAGGGAAAACAGTTGGCATATACTCCGCATTACAGAAGTGCTGGGGACAGTTTATGTTGGGACGTTTGGCATGGGTAACATTCTCGGTGGCTTGAAAATGGCCGGAATCTTTCAACCTGACAGATGTGTATTCTCAGAATATGATTCTGTACTAGCACATGATAGATTGTCTTGTTAGAAAAAGTACAATGCCTTGTACTTCCAGCAATGTCATGTGAAGCAGAAGCTGGTGCCTCGCCTCAAGCAGACCTGTCAGCAACAGCTACAAATTACTTCACCTGAACAGAATCAACTTTTCCAGATACTGTAGAAAGAAAACTTGGCAACAGAAGGAGAAGAACAGGAAGAACCTGCACAATGATGGATGGCAGAGAAAAGGCATTAGGAGACAAAAGAATAAAAGCAATTCATAAGTGTTAATTAAAAACCACAATAAAATCTGAAATACAGGAACAAAGAATGGACTTCTGATTAAAATTATGTCAATGATTGTGAAGCAGAGGTTACGGATGAAGATGATTAAGTGATACTGCTGAGGAAATGATTGAAAAGTGGTACTAAGCACAACTTGGAGGAGCTCACCTTAGAAACTGGAGACTACGTGCTAGTTAGCTCCCAGAGAAGGAGATGACCAAACACTTTGTTGAAAATATTTTTTCAAAGAATCCCTCTAGTATGAAGTTCAAATACAACTCCACAAATGCACTAAGGAGAGCAGTAAATTTGTGTTGAGTCTGCAGATAAACTTGATGTCAGTGAAGCTGATTTTACCATTAACAGCCTAAACCGGTTCCACAAAAAGGTTCAACTTGTGTACTTGGCTAGTTCTGGTTTCAAATAAAAGTAAAAAGTAAAGTTCCCCTGTAACAGGCCATGGAAGCCCATAGGATTATGAGTGGTTGAGGCTCCAACATCTTCTACACACTTGGCTCACAGATGGCGGTAAGGTTGTCAGCCTTACACGTCGGCCTCCCTTTACCCACCCAGGAAGGTTCCTGGTACTCATTTCTGCTAGAGGCTGAGTTGACCCCAGGGCCAAAGTGTGGCTGGAAGGATTAGGTAAATTGATAAAATCCACCTCATCTGGATTCAATCCTGTGACTTTCCGTCTTGTAGCATAGTGCCTCAATCAACTACACTACCGCGTGCCCCGTCTGCTTTCAAGTAGATTTTAGAAAATATAATGTAAAATAAGTTAAAAGGACATGAAAAATTTGCAGTAGAGCAGGTCTTGTGTTTCATGTAATAACTGGATTGTACAGCAAAGAGAAAAGTTTCATAATAACGAGCTCAATAATTATTATCTTTTCATATGGTAAAAGGTGTAAAAAAGGATAGCGTTCCAAAGTACATGAGGACCTTGTACCATGGAAGTTCTTTAAAAAAACTCAAACTTCATTCTTAAGAATGGGGTTAAGATCAGAAATTTGTATATTGTGTTTTACTGAGAAAAATGTGCTCTTTCAGGTGACATAATCATATCTTAAAAAAATAATGAATATTTGTTTCACAGAAAACATCAGAAAAATACTCTAAGGTACACGTATCCCTACTTAAACATACCAGTATGATTAAAATACTTTTTTTTTAACATAACATAATTTTCATTCAACAGTATCCCTGCACAGATAAAAACAATTATTTTAGGTTACGGTACTTTAATGTAACAAACATGAAATTTGAAGTTCTTATGGCAGTAAATATGAAGATCACTGCCTCCCGGGATGTGACACTCTATAGACTGACAGAAATATACCTTTCCACCTAACTACCCAGCTATCCAATCCTCTTAGGACACTAACACTCCAACATCCCAGAAGACAGTAATCTTAAACTAATAGTTTTTGTACCCTTCCAAATTCTGGGTTACAAATCCTAGTAAAGGTCAGGGAAATAACTATAGTGATGACAACACAGTAACTACAAGATTTCATTAGGATTTGATGTTCTCACAACAGTGGTTATGAATAGTTCTATCTTCTGATATATCACACCATGTAGTCCATTGAACGTCAACTAATCGACATTTCAGAGGAACATGTCACCTCCATCTTCTGGTTCAAAGAATAAGCAAAGCAAGAAAACAGCATGAAAGCAGGTGGCAAGCTCTGATGATCCGTTTGGCTGATTCTTCGACCGCAAAGAATGAGGTGACATGTTACTCCAAAACACCAGTCGACTTTCAATGGACTACATTGTATTGTATCTCAGAATACAGAACGCTTGGAAGATTTAATTAGTATTCAACTACTCTACTTGAAGAGGAATGAAGGTATGAGTATATGGTCTGCCATGATGGCAGAAGGGGATGTGTCAAGCTACTGTTGTATAACAAGATGCCACAAAAAGCAGTGTACTTTTATTTGGCTGAAAATTATTTGCCAGTGGGACTAAGAATCTGTTTTATCTTCATACTGCAATTATCTGCATCTAAATAAGCCTTGCTAAGTAGATAAAATTGATATACAGGTATCCCTCTGTTACGAATACTTAATTTATAAATTTTCGCTATATTGGAACGTGTTGATTAGTACCTACTCGTACTTCTCACTTAATGAATTTCATTTTTGCTACAACAACTAACATTTGCAAACATCCTTACCCAGATGCATCTCCCACCTTCCCAGTCAGTCTATGCAACTCATGACCATATAGAATCAGTTCTGCTTTTGATGCTTACATTTTATGTGCAAATATGTTATTTGTGGCCACTGTGGCTCTGTGACAAGTGAATGTGGCTGCAGTAGGTGTTGATAAGCCAAAGAAAGGAAAGCAATAAGTCTGGCTACAAGTTTTATCACAGCATTGCATCATATTTGACAAAATATATGGTAAGAAAATATTACAGTTTTATTTGCAACAATAAATATCATAAACAAGTAATACTGTTATTATTTTAATGCTTACTATTAAAATGTTAACAAATAATGGGGGATTTTTCTGGGACCCATGAAGGAGTCAGTGACTTTTACATTTGAAGTAATGGGAGAATAATTTTTTATTCACAAATAGTTTTCATGGCATGAATGAATTACCTACGTAAATTGGGGATACCTGCACATGATTTATATCATATTGAAGGTCATGTGTAGATAAGAATACAAGATCACCTTTTACTCAAGAACTGTTTCATTCTTGTAATGGTTTTAAGATCTAACCTAGTAGCAGGCAAGAATACAGGAAGATATACCTGATTATGGGTAAATACGAACCAACCACAGATAGAAAGCTTGTGTTTATATAGCAGAAGCTTGAGGAAGCGAGGGGGATTGCAGAAGCCACAGCAATATCAAGTTGCCAAAGCACTGGGCAGAGATGTACACACACTTTGTGAACGATGAAAAGCTACAAGTTAAATGTACCGTATTATTCTTCATTTAAGACTTTGGTCCGAATGGACTGACCTGACCTAAACAGACTTCACTGTTTCCATGGCTAACAGTCCACTGTTAGTATATATGGGCACAGTAACATTATCTTCTTCAGGTAGCAACTGGAATGATTTCCTGTTGGAGGGAAGTATTTGTTCAAATAATCAGAAAGAACAACATTTTAGAGGCATGATTTGTGGATATCTCATAAACAAAGGGAATACAATAAGGTGTGCATTAAGATGATATTTGGGAATGACATTAAGAAACTGTGCTTCCCGGTTTATATCAGATAGGACAGCTCTCCTCCCCACACACACACAGACGCGCGCACACACATGAAGAGATACATAATCCTTCTTTACGCTTAAATAACTTCTTATGGTACATATTGGTTTCTAAACTGGAGTACGAATTTCGGACTACAATCAATATACATACATACATACATACATCATTTTACAATGTGGCAGTTTTGTTTTGATAGATAACTTTTTAAATTCTTAATTCATATATAATGTTGCAGAGATATTTCCTTTGTCAGTATTACTTAGGCAGTATGAGACAAGCACCAAGGTACATTTTCACCACATAAGATGCAATGCTTATTTACAAAACAAGTCTTAGATTACAAAAATATATATCTTTTCTATATTTACCAACAGTCTCATTTAACATTACACTTGTCAGACTTATAAAAGGGGAAAGTTCTCAAACTGAAGTCCTTTGAGTTGAAATGATGCCAACTTTCTCAGCAATGTTACCCAGTAAGCTTCCAAGCCCTGAATCTTGTCCATTCTTAAACCTGAATCCAATTGTTGAGCAATATGCATTATAGAAGAGTGTCCGGACGGTCTGGAGTCTCTCCCGTCGTCTGAAACAATTTAGATCTCCATTTACCATTGTTACCAATTACTGGCACAGTAATGCAACACACAACCACTGAGTCCCCTCCCAAATAACTTCCACAGGTTATACAGGGAGATTATATAAGAGCTTGCCATGAACCATTTGGTGTGTCCCACAGAAGGGACATACGCTATTTATGCCAACTCACATGGCATGCATTTGGACTTGTGGCATAACTGGCATGCCAAAAGGCTATGCACATTACCATTTCTCGTCAGTATTACCCATTAAATTCCTGAACAGCTACTGTGAAGCAAGCTTATGTTATGTGTGCCTGCTGACCATAATCACAAGCCTCAAACATTCTACCTGTAACANACAAAATGCCACTTGGCACTGACACACACTGAAATGCATGTTCATCATGTATGATACCCATGTGGAAAGTAAAGAGATGATTTGGGAATAAATTTCAGGATATTACAGTTATAAACTGGGGGGGGGGGGAACTATTCATAGAATCACCAAAAATAATTACACAGTGCTGATATGAAATATGAAAGAATCAACCCACAAAGCCAAGTGCTCACTGAAGAGAAACTGGAAGAAATCATTGCTGGGTTTTATCTTCTCATAAATCCCATTGATGCCTAGCACAGGAGACTAGGATTGAAGTTTCAAGTTTTCTCTGTTTCCAAAAGGGAACATCAATGAACGAATGTGAACACATTATGGAGGTACAAGGGATGTATGTGTAACAAGGGCCATTTCTGGCATCTGCTGTTCCAAACATGTGCTACATGGCCATTCCTCTGCCTCTAGCTCAAGTCCTCTCTTCAAAGATTCCTGTACAGAACTATCAACTGAACTTGTCCCTTGCTCATAACATTTTCGCACAGACCACACAGAAAACACATCTCTTCCACTGTTGTAGTCTAACTGTTGCATTATTAAGAATCTGCTACCTAGCAATGGGAAAGTGTTTACTGAGCCACTGCCCAGCAACAGCCCTGGTATATCCCCCATCTTGTGGTCATTGCATAGCAACGGCTCTACATGCTACAATACTGTATTTCAGAAGGTAAACTGTTACAAAGATAACACAAAAGAATGAAGCTGCACAGATAAAAACTGTAACATCTGATATATGATATCTCAAAAACTGATGCAAAGTACAGCATAAGTTGTTTTAACACACTGTCTGCTAATATCACTTCCAAGACATGGCTGACAGCCCTACCATACTATGTCTCTGAGACATTTTAATGTTTGAGCCTAAATCAACAGAAGGAGGCAGAGGCAGAGGCAGAGGTGGGCACTGCAATACTGACTCATGCATACTTTCAATGCCATTTCTTGCTGTCATCTTCTTTTCCTATTTGTAACTACTTGCTTACATAATGAGATGGCAAATTTTAACCTGATTTGTATAAATGAACAGTCTTTCTCAACTGGCCAAATCCAGTCTGCCTGACCTTGAGAAAAACATGCAGGCAGCTGCTGAACATGCATGATGTGAGAAACACATGGGCAGAGGGACCATCAGTTGTGTTATTATGCAATGTCTCTAGCACTATCAGAGTTAATTTCACTGACCACACAACACATTTTCATTATTGTCACACTACATGTTTCGACCTCAAGAGGTCACCTCAGGTGTACGAACACAGCTGCACAATTACACGCAATCACATTAACTCTAATATTGATTAAATACACAACAGGATGCAAGAAACAAAGTCTCAGTTCCCTTCTAAGTCCATTCAGAAGTCTGTTTTGAGTTCCCATTTACAGTACTGAACTGAGATGGTGAAACACACATTTGAACAATGGGATTTTACATATGACATTTATGTAAAAGATAAGTAATGAAAATCGTGTAACAGAAAGTTCTGCTCTCGGTATCCCAGTGTTTGAGTTCAGGCTTCATCAACGATCTTTGAATTGGGTTCAACTGGGTATCTCTTACACAAGAAACACACTAGACAGATACTGACTGCACCAGGGAAAAGCTTGACAAAATCAGAGGCAGATTAGAATATTTGCCTCACAAATCCCAACATGATCAGCTTAACAGTCACAGGTTTGACAAAAAGTTGCATGTACTGCCATATAAAATTAGACAGGTTTAAGCAAATGAACAGGGTGATGATGAAGAAAGAACACACTGTTAAACTCATTTCTGTGGGCAGTCATGACAACATTCTTCAGGTAAAATGTAATTGTTTTACTGATGAAGCTTGGTTCCACCTGAGTGGGTGTATCAATGCCCACAATACACACTGGAACAGCAGTTTTCTGAGACAGACTTTTGAAGTGCCCCTTCACAACAAGAAGACTGCTACATGAATAGGAAACATAATTTGGAACAGGCTATTAATTATTAATGACATTCTTAAGCTTTTCTTTGGCAGCATTACAGAAGGACATATGGTGGCAGCGCCATAGCTCAAGTGGTTAGTCACTGGCTTCCCACCATGGCAGCCTGGGTTAGATCCCGGGTCTGGTCAAGTGGGATTTGTGGTGGATAAAGTGGCGCTGGGATGGGTTTTCTCCAAATACTTCGGTTTCCCCTGCCAATCTTCATTCCACCAACTGCTCCACAATCACCCTCATCTATCATCTGGGGCTGGTACAATAGGCAAATCAGTGGCTGCTGTGCTGAGTGGACCCAGCTGGACTCCACCCCCCACTAGGCGAAGGATATGGTTATTTCATACAAGATGCTACAACACACACTGCTTACTATTACATTAATGTATCAAATGAGGTGTTTGGAGACAGACTGAAGAGTAACAGATTGTGGCAAGGTTTTCTGACCTTAATCTCTCTGATATTTATCTGCAGGGAAACCTAAAGAGCAAAGTATACTGAAACAGTCCCCATACATTCACATTTGTGAAACAATTACATCTACAAAGATCAATGAACTCAAATTAGTATCAATCTGTTCCAGAGTCCTGAGTCTGTTTAAGAACAGAGGGAGACATTCTACTGTGATATTTAAGTTCTTTTAAACAGTTTACTTTCTTTAACAAATACTTGTCAATGTTGATAATGTGCAGTGTATGAGCTGTGATACTAGGATTCTTTTTCTTGGCAGATGATAGCTAATGTTCCGGCTAACACGACAACAGAGAGTCAGACAATTCAGCTATCTGAGGAAGACAGGGTGTATGTATGTGTCAGTGTATATATAAATTAATTTCAGAATGTGTTTCTCCACCATAATAATGCCCGTTGTTGTAGCAGTAAAATACATTTAAAATTCAGAGTGAATGTCAAATTAATTTTGTCAGTTTGAGGAACGTTGCCATTCTTCTCATTACAAAGAAGAGTACTGTTAAAAACAATTGGTTATAGTATGAATTAATAGTAATTATGAATCAACACTTACAAAGTAATATTGTCCGAAGGTCCTGAATTATATATAAAACATTCATCTTCTATGACTGTTGTACTTGATTCAGCTGAAACCTGTCCTTCACATCTGAAATATAACAGAGTTTAATATTAACAGCTTATGTTACTTAAAATATAAAATTTCACTGGACACAGACACAAGTGAGTCTCAAAAATTTTAAGACTCAATTGAGAAAAAATCTGACTCTCAATTTAAATACTGATTTTCTTTGTTTTGAATTTCAAGCCATTCTTGCATTTACCCGGTTTGAACCCTTTTACTGCAAAGTAATATTTTTTCAGTTCATTATTATCAATATGCAATTAAATCCCAACATAAAGTTGTGTAAACTAAGACCTTCTCAAATTTTGATTTAATTTTTTTTTTTGTTATGGCTAAGCTCCATATAAGCCAGTCACGGTAGCCAAGCGGTCTAAGGCATGCACTGTCTTCGCTCGCTTGGAAGCTGGGATCATGGGTTTGAATCCCACTCAGGGCATGGATGTATGTGTGCGTTTTTCTGTGTTTGTCTACAGGTAGAGGCCTTGCGACAATCTGATCACTCGCCCAAGGAGTCCTACTTTATGTGTAAGATCTAGAAAAACCGAAGTGAACAGAGTTCATGGAGGTAGGCCTAGACCCACTGGGGCTGTAGTGCCAAGGAAAAAAAAAAAAGCTCCATATAAATAATATATATTGCTCGCCAAATATGTATTTCTCATTTTTGTGATTTACCTGCATTTAGTGAATGAAAACCCAGTACCTTGGTTTCCTATCACATTTATACAAATGGAAGATAAGATGTACAAACTTTGATTGTAATCAAATTTTTTGTCAAAAGGCATGAAAATCACAGAGGCTCAGTGCATGGTTCCATTGTTTCTGATATAAATTAATTGTTTTTGGCTTTCATTCATATCCACACCTCTCACACTGTTCAATAACATTTGTTTATTTCTCTACTTTCAGCAAATTTTAACACTAAATGAACATAATCTAAGCAGACCATAGTGTTTACAAAATAAAGTATTATCAAAGTTAATGCCATTATTGCATAAACTCTGCTTCTGATGTATCATATTCTTTTACAGTGGAATGAACACTAGAATCAATATGATTTATGTTCTGGATATGGTGATTAGATCATGAGACAGAAGTCCAGTCCATGAAAGTAAAGCACTTATATGTCCATCATTTAGCAGTGACTATGCAGTACCTTAACCACAGAAGACAACAAAATTACTTGAAATAAATCATAACGTTACTGAATTAAAGCAGAAAAGATGTAAAGCACATTTCACAAGCCACAAAAGATTGTAACGTGCAAGAGCACTATAAAAGATTACTCTTGAATTTTGTAACCAGCGCAGTTCACTGATTTTTGCATAAACATCTTTAAAAAAATATACGTTTCACAAGTTCATGCATATGTGGGTATGATCAAGAGGTTTAGCTATTTATGATTTCAACCTGAGATTGCTGGCAATACCATCTGCAAAATAGTATAACATGGTATAAATTAAATATAACAGCCTAGTATAGCTGTCTAGAATGCTAGGATTATATGTGAAAACTTAGCAATTAAGTTTTGGGTGAGTGTGTGCATGTAGGTGTGGCAGAACACAACTGTTAATGTAATTAAATTCGCTAGTGGAGGGTGGAGTCCAGCTGGGTCCACTTGGCATGGCAGTCACTGATTGGCCTATTGTACCTGCCCCGGGTGATGATGATGATGGAGAATTTGGTGAAGTGAAGACTGGAAAGGGAAACCGAAGTACTCAGAGAAAACCTACCCCACCGCCACTTTGTCCCCCACCAAGTCATTATATATCATATTTAACAGTAGTACTTGGTATTCATGTAAGGCACTTTCAGGAAAGGAAATATACAGATGTCTTGCCCTTAACTTTCACATATATTGTCAGCTTTCACTACTGATTACACAGTAATTCATTCCTTACTGTTAATCAATAGTATATGACTGCTGTCAATAAATGAAATGAAGTCAGACATACTGATTTAAAAAAAAAAGTCTCTTCCATGACCTATGCTTGTTAAGGTCATCTGAGCAAGTATGGTGCACTCTTCTGTGCAGCTGCATTTAACCCAGAGCAGCAGATATTTCTAGCATAGTTTTATGGTGGGGGTAAAAGAGTTAAGTCTACCCCTTTGACAGTAGCAGCCACAAAAGTTTGCACTGGTATGTAACCTTGCAATATTGAGCCTGTCACATTACCCTTCCAGAACAGGCAGAAGCTATTTTTTTGGAAAAGTATCATCATAATCACTAATTGAATTGAATTGAATTGAATTGAATTTATTTACATTCTATAAATCCTAAGCAGGTTAGTACCTTTGGATACAGAACAAGCCACTAGACTTCCAAAATAAGATAAAGGTTATTTTTAGGATTAGTGTGACCTTGTTTTCATCAGTGAGATTGAAAGAATCAATCACAAAACAATTTAAATGTTGCTGGATGTGATTTCCAACCATGATACAAGAACCGTTCAGGTGTTGTAAAATAGGAAGCAGATAACATGTCAGGATAACTAAATAAATGGAGTAACAGCTGTAGACAGTCTACAGAATGTGGAGAAAAGTGTGTATACAATAGAGAAATAAATGTCCTACAAATGTGATGGTTTCTGTTACACAGCACCGTGAACTTGCCAGAAAAATGATCTGCATAATGGTCCAGTTCTTTTCCTGAGTGTTGAAAACAGTGAGGAACAAGGGGGAATTCGTGAGTAAACAGGCACTTTATTTTTTGACCAGTATTGTCACACTTCTGGAACAAGCACAGCTGCCACAGTAAGAAGAACAGCAAAGAATGTTTTCATCCCATCTCAAGATGAAGAATTCTTTATTTTTCTTTCTAAAAAATTACTAGATTTACAGATTGGAAATTAATCCACAATACACTGCAAATGGACAGGCTACTTAGGGACAAAAGACACAAATTCTTACATTTACATCCTCACATTACATAATGCATCCAATTCAGAAGGAACACGATCATCACGTACTGGAATTATTACTTCGGATGTGGAACTAACTCAAGAAGATATGTTATGATCAGCATCATGTTCAGAATAATCCCCTCCTTTGGAGGACTTCACTCACTATGGGTGTTCTTTTTCATCAATGATGATTCATGCAGTGAATATACTTTCCTTTTGAGAGTCAAGACAAAGCTTTTTGGTACACAAAATTTAGAAGAATCTGTTTCTCCACAATTCAAAACAGTATGCAGCTTCCAATACCACTCTACTCATACTTCCTGAACAAAGAACACAAACTGAGAATGACAGTGCAAGAAAAATTCAACCAGTTAATTACAGAAAAAACATAAGGAAGTAATTATATCAGGCAAACATATTGTACTTATTCTTAAGTACTTACAAAGAGGTATTACTGCCATTCTGTGACAACACTGAGTTTGGAGTGGCTGAATCTCCCGTTGAAGTGGAGGCAGATCCCCGTAAACTACCAGTCCCTGAGATCAGCTGCCAGCTGTAAAATCATGTCGAACATGAAGAAATGTACCAAACACAACATGTGTTCAGACTGTGAAGGAACTGAAAATTCTTATACAATGCTGAACTGAACTGAATAGAACAGGAATGTCTTCATATCCCCTACACATGAAGATCAAAATATAACTCATTTCTAAAAAGCTGTGGTATTTGTACTGAAACCTACTGTTACAGACAAAGTCACACAAATATCTTTAAATAGTGTCACCCCATCATTTAATAACTTTAAACTTAACAGATCTTTTTTTTTTATCTGAGGTATTCACAGTAGTGACTATGAAGGGTTCTGTTTTCTGGGATATATCATCATGCAGTCCGACAAAAGTCAACAGACATTTCGAAGGAAGATATCACCTCCATCTTCAAGGAAGAAGATGGAGGTGATATGCTCCTCCAAAATGTCATCTGACTTCCACCTGACCTAGATTACTTTACATCCCAGAAGACAGAACTCAACTGATATTTTGTCACCGATTGTAGCCCAGACCATCCTTAAAACACTGTTCTCTGAAGTACTGTTTTCAGTTCCTAGTACGTAAAGTAAAGCTATCCCTGTAACAGGCCGTGGAGGCCCATAAGGCTGTGAGATGTTGAGGTTTCCACATTTTCTAGACAATCGGCTCAAAGATGGCGGCAAGGTTGTCAGCCTTAAGTGCTGGCCGCCCTTTACCCCCAAGAATATTCCTGGTACTCATCTCTGTTAGTGGCTGAGTTGACCCAACGGCCATAGTGCGGCTGGAAGGATTAGGTAAATAGGGGGAAAAAATCCACTTCATCGGGATTCGAACCCATGACCTTCCAGCCTGTAGCATAGTGCCACAACCATCTATGCTACTGTGTGCCTACTCTAATTTTAAACATTGCAATGAATTTGACCATTGCTAGAAAACGGTTCGGTAAGTGCGTTCCCACGGCAAAGAATGGACTACAAATAGTCCATTGCTGGGCAACAGTTCAGTAAGCACATTCTTGTGGCAATGGATAAACAAAGAAAAACAGAATAACAGTGGAACTGCAAGACATGGTGACATATTCGGTTTGCCCTAAAGTTATAAAAGAGTTCAGTTCATTCGCGAGTGAGCCATCGTTCAGCATTAGTCATTCACAGGAGAGTTTAGTGTTCAGCAGTGGAGTGTTAACCAGCAGAGAACGGAAGCTGAAGTGACCAATTCATAACTCAGAACCAAGTCATTCACAGTGGAAGAGAAGACACTCGTAGTTCAGTATGGAATGGAGTGAGTCATAGGCAGTCATTAATTGTAATTGTAAATAAGTACCAATAAATCCAATCATCCAATCCAGAACCTGTTATATTCGTCACCCAAACCTTGGATACATGACAATATTATTTCCAAAAATTGTTTGCATCTTGTAGAGATCAGCTTCTAAAAATCAGCCCTCATATAACAGATGCTAGCAGCCTAAAATTATATGTAATTAATCCTCTGTACATGTGGCATCGTGCTAGAACTTAGTTTGGGCAAGTGTGATATCTGACTGCCTCAAAAAGATTGGATTCTTCGGTTACAACCATGAAGGAGACAAAAACGAAGCCTGACTAGGGACAGATGAGAGTGATGACGATACCTGAGAAGGGTTACAAGAAAGCTTCAAGGACTGTACAGCTGCAGATGATAATGTCCTGCCCTGCACTCTGTTAAGACTCTGTCAGAGAACGGGAACAAGTCCAGACTTTCTAGCTTGTGGTAAAGTGAAATAACTTCTCACAGTTTATTTCTTAAAACATTTATTTCTTATGTTTAAATTCTCTGAATATGGCCTCTCAGCACATTGCAGAAATCTTTTAACAACTGTAATAAATCCTTTTATTTCAGTGCATGCCAACAGTGAATAGCCTGCAGGAGGGAACACTAAAGGTAAAATGTACAGGTAAAGCTGTCCCTGTGCTTAACTAATTAAGCACTATGCCATTAAGGCGTGTGGGGGAGTGTATGTATAGATCCACATTTTCTTGACCTTGGCACTAGCTGGAGGTGAATGGTCAGCCTCATGCCCCTGCTGCTTTACTCAAAAGGACAGAGCCCCTGGTGCCCATTGGATAGGAGCCTGGGTGGGCTCCAGAGCAGGTCTGGATTATATGGAAAAGAGAAAATTCTTGACCCTACTGGGACTCAAACTCCAACTCCTTGGTCGTCCAGCCCATAGGCAGCTGCTATACCAACTGCACTATTAAAGGTATACATTAAAAACTAGACGTACAATAATGCCAATAACGACGACAACAAATTTATAATAAATACGTGGCGGAGGTGTCCTTGTGTCATGCCAGACCATAATTTTAACTGAGAGTTGTAATATGAAATGATATTTCGGTTAAATATGCCTCACCGGTAGGCAGAAGTGGCAGCAGCTACCTGCAGAGAGCCACAGTAAATGGTTCAAAATGGCACCTCCACTGCTGAAGTGGTCTTTTATACAGGTTTGATCTGAGATTTATCTCTTGCTTGCCAAAGGTCTTCTTCAGCAGAAATTCATCAGGAAGTCTGTCACTGTATATGGTGTGAATGCCATGCATGACATTCTAGGGAGTCAGTCATTGGTGCAGTGAGTTCAAAAGTGACTGCACCAGTGTCATGGATTCCCTCTCATCGGGTAGATCAGCATCATCAAACATAGAGATCGCTGCACAGCATGCTGATCAATGGGTGAAGCTACAACTTTACACAGAACTAGAAATCTCATATGGTGCTATATTTGACATTGTTCATGAAATGCTTCAATGCTGGAGAGCAAAAGCACAAAGGGTCTGATTGACAAGCACAGACCTGGAAAGCTGTAACACTGCTCCACGATATTGATCCTTTATGCTACGGAGAGTACGGCATTCCTGAATACCACTGTTACATGTAAAGAATCTTGCGTTAACCACTACACTCTAGAATCTAAGTAAACATCCAGAGAGTTGAAGCATGCAACATCTCAAACACCAAGGCAACACCAATTGCAAGCAAGGTCATGCTCACCACCTTCTGGGACACTTATTTTATTGATGTGAACTGTCATAGTATTAAAATGCATCTTTAGTGAACAACATATTCCTGATGCCTTTTCAAAGTTCTATTATTGATGGATACTTTAGTAAAATAGGACAGAGAGCACAGTTGTTCTAAGAAGACAACAGTAAACTGGTGAACTAGTGTAACAGTAGAATGTGTGTCTCACTGCAGACGACAATTATGTGGAAAAGAGTTTTTAGTGTGGATTATAATCCCAAATGTGTAATATGATGAATTTATATATGATCTGTGAGATATAAATTTATGAAAGTAACTTGTATATAATTTAAATACGTATAAACATTATCAATGCTCTGTTTCCACAGACTCCCTTGTTGCACTGAGGTAACCAGGAAGCTAGGAGTGGGCTCAGACAACAAGTACAATGACTCACCTGACTGTTTCTATATATCACTACCTTGCTGCAGATTTCTGTGGGTCATAGGGATCTGTGTTTTGTCCCCTAGTAAATGGATAACACTGGTATTTCTAACATTCTGAAGTTTCTGGATTTTGTCATGTAGACCTGTAGCTAAGCAACGACTGTGAAAAAAGCAACTATACAACAGCCGTTGCTAGGTAGCAGTTCCACCACAATCACAAATCACAACACACAAATCACAAATGCAACAATTCCAAGGCAACAAGAGGTTACTATAATGGGAAGTGGTGTTTTCTATGTGGTCTGTGCCAAGATGTTATACACAGGACAAGTCAGTGAAGAGCTGTCAGTTGGTGAGTTAGTGAGCGAGTTACGGGTTCAGTTGTTGTGAGATGTTGCTGTGAGAAGCTGGCAGCTGAGGCTGAGGACAGTTTGGGAATCCAGAGGAAAGGGAACATCTGCAACTGGAAGCCACTACCAAGCAAAGGCTAGTGGAAACTGTAACAGACTGAGAACACTAGTCTGTGTGTGATAGTTAATTGTGAAGCGCAGTAACAAGTTGTATAAGTGTGCAATAAATCCAATTACCAATCCAAACCACGTCTATAGTCACTAAAACCACATGACTATATTGTATATATATATATATCGCACAGCTTCGAAATGTGGTGTTGGAGAAGGATGGAGAAGATCAGTTGGACCGATTTTGTGAGAATTGAAGAAGTGTTATTTAGAGTCAGTGAGCAGAGGAATATCTTACATGAAATAAGAAAACGGAAGGCTAATTGGATTGGTCATATCTTACACAGTAACTGCCTCCTAAAAGAAGTTATTGAAGGAAAGATAATGGAGCAGATAGAAGTGACCAGAAGACGTAAGAAGATGCTGGATGACCTTGAGGACAGAAGAGGATATTCTCATTTGAAGGAGAAAGCTCTAAATCGCATTAAGTGGAGGAACTGTTTTGGAAGAGACTGTGGACCTGTTGTCTGACAGATTACTGATGAATGAATATCGCACAATATGTACTGCAGTCTTACTTTGAGGTTTTATTCTATGGAGTTGGTAAGGTTAATAAGAAATCTATGGTATTTATAAAGATTAGTCTTTTACAAATTGACATCATTTTTTCTACCCTCACCTTCCAGCACTTAGTGAACTGTTGGAATCATTTCGCTGTCGGAGGCGACTAGATACTGGGACTGCTACAGGACTTGTTCTGTTGGGATGCGGGGAACGTGGCCCTGGACCAGGCCCACTCTGGCTACACAGACTTCCAAGTCCAGGTAAGGCAGAAGGACTAGACTCACATCCTGATGACTGCAAGTGAGGTGGACACGTAGTCTGAGCATTATAAATTGGAAGATTGCTGTAAAAACAAAACATATTGCATTAGCCTACATTTCTACGGAAGCTAAGTGTTAACAGGAATAAGCTGGGAAGGAAACTATATGACATTTTGGTAGCTGTCAAAATTCATTCACTGTAACAACATTCTGGTGGGGGGGCATCAAAATGGAAAATAAACTAAAGTATCACTAACCAAATATGGTTTTAAACCAGATATAGTCAAGCTGTATTTGCATTTATTTATTTACAATTTATCTAGCAATGCTGTCAGAAGCTCAGCTGTACACTGCCAAATGATATATATATATATATATGAAATTTACTGCAAGACTTACTACTTCCTTTAATTATGAAGAAAAGGGAAACAAAGTTTAAACACTGGAAATAATAATGATATTTAATGCAGACAATTGGATTATGATGAAATAACTAATCTGTAGCACATTTAAAGGTGGGAATACACAAGCGCGCCGCGGCTGTAATGCGGCATTACAAGTGATGCGCGGAGTGATTTGGTGCACCTTGAACAAGCGACGAGCACGCAACGAACCATCTGAATTGGGCGCGCAAGCCGTAAGCACCTCAATTCCACTCTATCTTCGCTGTCCACATGACCATGGAAGACAAGGAAGCGTCACTTTTTTTGTTCTTTTTATAATAATCATTTTCTCTGGGATTCCACAGGCAAAATACAGTATAAATTCAAGTAATGTCACTGAAATGAATTCATATATTTCACCAAATATTATTAGGGTGATCAAATGATGATATAGGCAGGCCACGTGGTATGCATGGGAAAGATAAGCAAACACACTCAAAATTTTGGTTGGTTAGAAAACCTGAAGTTAAGAAACCATCTGGGAGACCTAAGCATAGACAGGAAGATAATAAAATGGATCTCAAATAAATAGAATGTTAAGATGTGGACTGGATTATCTGACGCTGTGTCCAGTTCTTGTGAACATGGAAATGTACCTTTAGGTTCTCTAAAAGTTGAGACACTTCACTGGCTGACTGCTGGTTTCTCAGGGGGAGGGGGGAACTGCTTCAGGGATTGAATTACTGTCATTATGTTTAGAATACGAAATCTATGTGGAAAAAAGTCACATTTTATATTCTAAATTTACAAATATGTTAGGTTGTGAGACTCTGGGTTCTCGTGGCATTGTCTGTGAAAAGTTAGTCTTCTAGTATGCGATGTCATGTTGTTTGATAGATACAAATGTTTCAGAGGATCTTCCTATTTCCATTTTCAGTACATAAGACAAAGACAGCAGTTTGCTTCTGAATGTTGCTACCTACGTAGCACATCCACAAAGATAGTAATGTAAAAACATGTGAACTTCAAGTCACTAACTCCAGGAGTAGGATCCTCTTTAGAAGCTAATTAATCACTCTGCCAGTAAAGAAATGTCCTGCCTTCTGTGGGATCCATAGTTTTGTTACTATGTTCACAGAAGCCCACCACCGGTCCATACTGTAAGCCAAATGAATGCAATCCATAACTTCCACCGCATTCTCTTTAAGATTCATCTAAACATTATCCTCTACTTGTATGTTAAGTATGAATGACCTCTAACGTTATGTTACCAAAACTTACCCATTAGTATGTTCATCAGATAAGTCGGGCACATTGTGGAAGAGCACAGGTGGATTGTCTTGACTTTTGCTACTAACTGAGCTACACGAACTGTTAAGACTGATGTTGGAGCCCCGCGAACTAACCGCACAATCTGCATCAAACAGCATACCATCCAGATGCAGGTCAGAGTCATTTCGCAGCACTGTTGCAGCAATGCTTCCGCCACTACCACTACTGCCACCGGTGTTCTGTTTCGACTTTGACCGTGGAGCCACACTATATTCATCCCCTACCAGATGCTTCAGAAAGTAGAAACAGAAGAAAAATATTTCTTCACCCTTAGTTAATCGATCCATAAGATTGTGTCCAAAGAGCATCCAGTCATATGCAATGGTGAAGTACAGAATCTGGGTGGCATTGAGAGACTGATGAACAGCACCATCTGCCCAAAGTGACAGGCGCAACAGTGAAATGAACAAAGGCGTGCGATCCCAACCACTGATGCAATGAACAAGAAGGCCAGTACTATTTTCTTGTAAATATCGTAACATTAATTTCATGTAATTTTGGGTCAATTTCACCAAGTCCCACACCTGGAAAATATAAAGGTAATATCATTAATTATTTCTAATCCTTCTCTATACATAAAATAATGGTGAGATTAAAAGCTCTGAAATTAGATAATTTTTGGTTACCATGGTAATGAACTGTTGTGTGTTAACACATTGCATTAAAATGAGTTACATAGTAGGTCATGAATGAGCAAGCATTCTTCTGTTTCAATCTATCATGTCTGTTTTATGAGTACAGATAATTTTCTTATGTGAATATGTGAAGACCAGTATGCTATATAAAGATTATTTAAAATTGACCATTTGTGTTATTCATGGGAATTGCATTCAGTGTTGATGTATAATAAGCTAACATGTAGGAGAAAGAAGTTAACAGCTCATATAACAAATGATGGAACTTCCTGCTGAATTCTTAACAGGTGTTACATTATCACATTCATTAATAATGTATATGTAAAGAATATATTTAACATTCTCTTTGCTATAGATGTATATGTACATATTCTGACATGATAGGTTAGGTTATGTACATTTGTCCTTCGACACTTACTTATTTCAAATTTACCAAAAAAAAAAAACTTGACATGGAAGGCATTAAAAATCATGTATTTCTTAAAATGAATTACACTAGTACCTAAAACATATTCCTTCCACAGAATAAATAAAAACAATGAGATTATGGACTTATGGTATGTGATATTGTGAAGTTTGGTTGATGTGTACCAAAGCTTTGGAGGAACCAGTTTGTCTCTACTCTCTTGGAAAAGTAGGTCACAACACAATAATAACATATGCATGTATTTTCAAGTAGTACTTTATTATATGTTTCAGCTTCCAAGAAGCCATCATCAGGTAAATACACTTAAAAACTTTTAGCTATTGAACTGCATGCTAATTACATGATGTAGTATTAAATTTTCCAAATAGTATACAATAATATAAAATATAAAGTTACACTGAAAGTAAAGTCTTAGAATGAACTAGTTACATAATTAAAATACAGTTAAAATCTGTACATATAATTATACGGTATTTCAAACTAGGTAGTTGTAATCGTAATAATGTATGGTGGTGCTTATGCAGACATGTTGTATACACAGATGATTGATATGGTGCTTGGAGGTCCATTGCTATATTGTACGTTATTATTTAATTCTGATTTCTATTTGATGGGCGCCTCCATTTGTGTGTATATGTCCGGTCAGGTGAGGAGATGGATTACAACTGAAGTTGATTCCAAGTTTCATTCTACATACTGAACTACTATCACACCACACGTCACATGACAGACCATAATACTATCTCCATACCCATTTTCAAATTTAATTTACACAAATATAAATCCAAAAGTACACAATACTTATTCCTTCATTAATACCTGTTGGTGATTCTTCTTTAAACATTTACAAAAGCTGCATTTATTGCAATAAAAACAAAAACAAACTCCATGGCTTTAGTCTGCAAGCAAAATATACCAATCGAGCGACTGCCGCTTGTCGGCGAAGTTAGTGCCAACTTTTGAGGTTAGAGGGTGTTGCATAGTCAATGCAACAAATCCCCATGGCCGTCAATTTCGGTTTTCTAGACCAGATCTGCTATTTCCTTGAAACAGCTTCTCAATTACACTCACGAGGTTGAGTGGATCCCGTTCCAAACCCATTACTTGTCAGAAAAAATCTGGCGGCGCTAGGACTCGAATCCAGACCTCTGGATCTGTAGCCAGGAACTCTGACCACTAGACAACAGAGGCGGTCTACTGTAGTTATCTGCCATCTCTGGTATGAGCAATTCTATTCTTACATTACTGTTTTGTGTTCATTTGCTAGAGAACACTGCTATGAGCAACCATGGAAGTGTTTATATTCAACAGTATGGATTCACGTCTCTAAGCGTGAAGGACTCAGGCTGGAAAACGAAATGTGAAGAAAGCAGTGACAAAAAACAGCACGTTGCATAATGAAGCCATCTTTGTAACCTGCACAATTCGTAATAAAAATCTGTTCCATCACATGTCCCTTCTATCATTATATATAACATACAATTCCCATTACCTTGTACTTCTCCCAGTCAATCTTAAGCTGAGAAGACACTGCATCATCTGGTACTCCAATTACAGCATCTACATGAGACTGTGTCCAATCAAAAACCAAATCCTCAGCAACATAATCATTATCACGATATTCTTTAAAAAACTCACACCCTGGATATGGCAGAGAGACAATCGTGAAGTCAGAGTAACGATTCTCCTTGTCTACCTTCTCTGATGAAGTCACACTGCAAAGAAAAATATATTTACATAAAATAGATCTCCTAACTTGTTAACATCTGCAGGGAAAATACAAGAGCAAGATATGTCACTGTCATTGAGTATCGCACTGTCAAGGCATCAGCAACGGCACTCTCATTGCACACATGTCATTCTTAACATTGTATTAAGGCTACAGATTTCAGACATCTCTGAAGAGAAATAAACTCCAGCCAGTTTCCTGACCTCTCACAGCTCTGGCATCAAGAGCATACTGTAATATAGAAGAGACACTCATATTTACGTTGAAAATAACTTTACAGCAGTTGTATGAGGCTCAATAGAATGTTTAAATATTTGTTTACATTATTTAGCAACTTACATTAAATTATACATCTTTTATGCAGAGTGTCCCAGGAGGAATGTGCCAGACTTCGGGAGGGTGTTCCTTATGTTAAAGTATGCCGATATAGCCCAAAACACCTATGTCCAAAGTTGAACGGTTACGGAGATAATTGCCAGAGAAGTGTGAAACTTTGACAGGTGTTACACACTTGTTGATTACCAAATACATATTAAAACTGGCAGGAATATGTGGTTTCTGTAATGTTAATAATGTACGTACCATCAAACTAACTTGTGAGTGACATGAAGCCATTAAATTGAACTACAAAAAAACTTGCACGACATGTCATAGTTGTCGTTAGTGTTCCAAGCACTATACATGACACATGAATGGAAAGCACTGATGTAACATGGCTGACTGCGCATTCTAGTATGCGAGTGTATGCAGCTAGTGTGAGCCGTCATAACCACACTCAAGGACAAACATCGATAAGACTTGTCAGCTGACAGGTACAGTGCGTGGACTCCAGAAGACCACACTTTTCTTGGGCCATTATCTCCGTAAACGTTCAACTTTGGACATAGGTGTTTTGGGTTATATCGGCATACTTTAACATAAGGAACACCCTCCAGAAGTCCGGCACATTCCTCCTGGGACACCCTGTATATAAAACTGTGTTTTAATTTTTTCATATCAACTCTTCATTGAATGCAGATGATGCAATGCTAAAAGCAATGATCATCTGTTCTCAGTGGATGGAGTATGTGAATAAGTTCTATTAGCAAGAATCCATGGATCTGCCCATGTTCAAATTATGACCTCAAAAGGACCTTCACTAAGTGTGTACTGTAATGCCAAGGGTATATAGACAACTTCTTCAACTTCAGATACTTACTTCATTCCAAATTTAACTTTTTTCTTCTCAACCATGAAATCAATAATAGTCCCAACATTAAGCGTTTTTAGGAGACGAATGTCCTGGCTTCGCACCTTGTCAAACAACTGCCAGTCCCTTTGTGTTTGTACTGCACCCATTAATTCTTCATCCCCATCTTCGGCATTTGCCTCCGTGACGGAGAAGAGGTAGTCTAAACCAGAACGGCCGTAAATTTCTGGGCCTCCAGATAATGTAGATGATCTGCGTGAAGGACGAGCATTAGAATCTCGCATGTATTGCAAATATACAAGAAACACTTTATACTGACAGATCAAGTAAGTCACCTGCATATGTGTTTACCACGATAGAGGATTACTGGAAGTGGGAATCTTGCCCGACAACGTGCAAATCGAGACTTCAAAAAAAGGTCACGTAGTCTAGTTGGATCATGCATGTTCTCATAGATTGTTCCAGTTGTGCGAGGTGGCTCCATGGGCCGTAGAGCTCCACTTACATTAGTAGAGGGATGCTCATACTCCAAGATTATTAAGTGGCTTGGATAATTTGCACTCAGTTCCCCTTCACTATTGCTTATAACCTGAACAAAGAGAATATACATACTATTAACATGTTGATGAAAATAAGCTATACATAAAAAGAATAGCCACTGTGATGAAAAAAATACCAAAGAAACAAAAATAAACGTGAGTTAAAGAAACTGTAACGAACTGTTGGAGGATGGAACTTAATTGCATGATTCCGGTAATATTTCATGTGCATGCTTCCCCAAGTAGAGTGGCTATGAGCATAAACATATTCAGAAGCTCGTAGATAAATATCTCTTGACTCCAGATATTCACACACCTGTGGTGCATGAGAAAGTGAGTGTGTTTAAAGGAGTAGCAACATCAGCAGGTACATGAACCTCGATAATAGCTGAGCCGTGTTGTTTTATTATTCATTCACTCATTCATTCATTTCCTTTATTTTCCATATATCTATACAGGTAACAAACCTAGGATGTGGAAATAGTCCCTTTGAGAATAGATGTGTCCAGATACATATAGTAAATTACATGAGTTACTGTTTTGTTTGTACTGTCTATACTATAGACAATACAAACAAAACAGTGAACAGCAAAAATAAGGGAAAGGAACACTCCAGACTGCATCTGCTATCAAGATGATTACTTATCTACCTCAAAGGGCAAAAGAGTGTTAAGCTGGATTCATATTACATACAAAATAATTAACTGATATTTAAATTTTTAATAATTAAGAATTACAAAGAACAGGGAATTTATTTTAGGTAATGGAATACTTGTAACACAGAATTTGACTTCTGGAAGTTTGACTGTAACATTACTATTGCATGCCAATTTGTAATTCTGGAAAAAGAAACTTGAAATCCATAAGTCAACTAATGAAAACTTTTCTTTGCACACTACCAATTCAGCAAAATACTTACAACATGACTATAATCCAATGTGACTAGTTTCAGGCACCGCTGCATCACATCTCGACTCTGCAAATAAACAGCAAATTCTTTCATTACTATATTATAAAGCATTGGGGGAAACATTTTTCTTTCAGCATAATGGGGCATAAAACATTCAATGAATGCATAAATACAGAATAAACTCTAGGTGTGAAAAAAACATATACATAAAGCACGAAGGATGAAGAGATTCATGAACAGTACTGAAACTGGATGCAGTTATGCTAACAACCTTAAAACCAGATTTCATTCCTTTCATCATGAACATTTTTCAATAAATCAAAGTAATCATACTCACAAATAGTTACTACTGTTATTAAAAGAGAAAGTTTGTTGATTAAACCTGAAGAAATAACCTAACTACAAGTCCTTCTTGAAAAGCCGACAGTCTCTCAGCTGCTAAAGAATTTCCATGCATTTTACGGAACCCGAAGGTTCATTAGCGCGTTCACAAAAGCTATCACTGGTCCCTATCCTGAGCCAAATGAATCCAGTCCACACCAGCCCAATATATTTTTCCAGATCCACTTCAATATTATCCTCTCTATGTCTAGGTCTTCCTAGTGGTTTCCCCACCAAAACCCCATATGCATGCCTCTTCTTTCCCATGCGTGCCACACATCCCACCCAACCTACCCTTCTTTACTTTATCATTGTAACCATACTGAACAAAACTTACAAGTTACAATGAAAGCCAGGCGCACCAAATCTTATTTAGAATGTTAATAAAGTGCACAATTTTTCATTTCTTACACAGTAAAATGCTGTATGTAAACTGCTAATTCCCCTTCAGATATGAAATGAAATCACAAAACCATAGAATGGATTTGGATTGACTATCTTCTCCTTCCAAACAAATTAATTTTACTTAAAAGAAGTGACCAGATTTTAAATAAAATGATGCTAATATCACATAAAAGTGTCGATTTGCCTTTTAGGTCACTGAATGCTGAACATGAATTCTGAAAATAACTCATACAAGAATACCTCAATTGAAAACACCCAACATCTTCTAAGGGTTTTGGACAGGACTGTATTTAATTAATTACTGAACTGTCACATTAAAAATATAAGCTGTGTTTTGTAAAGAAACATTTCTACACATAACTGGGGCATTAATCCACAATGCCAACACCAACAAAGCTTGAGGACAGACTTAGCTAATCTCTCCAACAATGCTAGACAACAGACTTAAGCTGGCATGAATAAATCAATGAGGCTTTAACCAAAATATTTACTTGTGGAAAATAAAAGGCTGTTTAGGTTCCAGGAAATAATTCGGTAAAATATGTTATCCCAAATTTACACCATTATGTGAATGTCATCCCATAACATTATTCTAATTTAGTTCACACTGAAATTTAAATAATTTTATTCGTCACCAGGACCATTAACTCACACAAAAAAAGGGACTTTCTGATCTGCTACTGATTCAGTTACAATGAATACATATTTAGCCTAATTCTTTACACTGTCAAGCAGAGCTAAATTAAATAACCTTGTATTAATGTCCCTCTTAATTTTCTTGATCTACTGTGATACAGCATTTACCAAACTGTTCCATATAGTGCAAAGATACAGATTTGGAAATCATTATTATTATTATTATTATTAATACAGCGGGGAAGTTTCTGAATGATGTCAACTTCAGTTTTTATCCAATACACGATAACACAATCTGAATTGTCACAGTATTTGAAATACTCCTTACCCCTTTGCCCCTCCAATCACAAGAGAACATAGCAAAATTTAAACAGGCCTGCCCTTCCTAATGTAGTAAAATTCTTCACCCCCCCCCCAAAAAAAAAGAAACAGGCTGAGAGCAAAATACTAGTAACACATTCAATGACATCATCACAGTCTTCTCAGATTCCCATGAAAGGGGGTACACTTGAAGACTCCATAGAAAAGAGCAGTCTTGTAAAATTTCAGCATCCTATATTTTACAGATTTTGTGAGCAAGGTGTGAAAATCATAAAAATTTGCTTTTCTGGTAAGCTGTCACCACAAAAAATTCATCATCATCATCACTGGCACGACAGCCCTTTGTGAGCCCTGGCCTTCCTCAGGATTGCTCGCCATTCTTCTCCATTCGATGCTACATTCCTCCAGTTCTTTACACCCAAAATTCTTATGTCCTGCCACACACATTCTTCCCATCTTAACCTTGGTCTTCCCACTCTCCTATTTCCTTCTGGTTTAGTATTAAGCATTTTCTTGATGGTTCTATTCTCGCTGGCACGTATTGTGTGTCCAGCCCATTCAAGCCTTTTCACCTTTATAAATCCAGTAATGTCTGGTTCATTAAATAGTTTGTATAGCTCATGGTTATACCTCTTCCTCCATATTCCATTTTCTTCCACTGGTCCAAATATATCTCAGGATCCTCCATTCAAATATACTTAACAGTCTTTCATTCAATCTTGACAGTGGCCAGGTCTCGGAGGCATAAGATACCACTGATCTTATAAGTACTTTATACATCATAGTTTTCCACAAAAAATTATCATAGCATTTGTTCTGTAAAAGCTATGGAGCTCATATGGGCTGTTTAAAAGCTAATGAAATGCTCTTTTCACCCATGTGTTACTTGCAATAGAATAGAGTAGCTTTGGTTTTAGCATCACCTGAGACAACCTGTGACTTTCCATTTTTCACAAAATGTTAACCTTTTGCAAAAAAAAAACACACAGTGTTATAGTCTAACATATGGCAGAATGTCTTCCCATGACAGCCATAGGATGATTCATACTAAAATCAGAATATTGCAGGCTTTCAGGGCTATTGCACAACATGTCACAGCATGTTGCAACCTGTTCTGAAAGCTGATTCATCTCTCTGCAGTCATCAGTATTCTCTAAGCCTCTGTAGTGGTCTTCAGATGCTGTAATTTCTCTCTGCATTCATCTTTTCTGAACTCCTGTGTTGTGTCAAGTGGATTTACTTGTGACAGAAAGGTTTTCTGTATATGAACTCTGTTCATCACTACTTGGTATCAGGTATGGTAATATGTTTTATGAGAATGGAATTATCTACAAAATACGTACCTAAACAGTGTTGCAACCCATTTAAAGGACACATTGCTTGTAGGAAGCCCCAAAGAAATCTGCCCACTGATGATATGAAAAAAGCCATCTTTAAAAGGTGAGTATACAGCAGGAAGCATTTTCTCTGACAGTTTGAATGTAATAACTTTATTTCAGACCAAGAACATGACTCCTCAGACAACTGATTGTAACAATGGCTCTCCTAAAACATTGGCATATAAAAAAAATGATAACTTCTAGCTGCCTCTAATAAAATAATATGTACAGCTACATAACTAGTAAATAAATATGGAATTGTGGCATCACAAAATTCAAAGCCTGGATGAAGTCTAGATCCATAAGTAGCTTACATTGTTCAAAATGTCTACTGTAATGACAACGCCACTAGTTATGCAAGAAAAATAGGACTATGTGGCATTTAAAACCGTCTATTAGCAGAAGATAAACAAAGAGACTAGTATTAAAGAACGTCATCAGTATATACTGAGTTTAAGAAGTCACATCCTGGTCTCAAGGTTTGGTTTTCAAAATCTGCATTTCTGCAACTTTAAAAATAGTGCACTAAGCTAGAGCAAGTAACACTTGGCTGTGCCTGTTTGTGTACTACTCAGCAGAACGTCAGATTGCTGCTTGAAGGATACAAACTGGTTCAAGTACCTCTAAACCTATTACCACCACTAAACTGCTGATAAAACACAATACTCAACTCTATATACCATCATTATTTGGTGATTAGTATGTGCAATCCTCCTGAACAGTCTCTCCCCCACCCCAAGTGTACAGAATGCATTTAAAATATATATAATTTTGGCCTGCAGTTTTGTCTGGGTGTAAAACTTGGTAACTAACATTACAGGAAGAACACAGTTTGAGGGTATTTGGGAACAGGATGTTGGGAATATTTTGACCCATGAGGGATGAAAGAATATGAGGTTGGAGAAAATTGCATAACAAGGGGCTTCATAACTTGCACTTCTTGCCAAATATAACTGAAATGATCAAGTCAAGGAGGATGAAATCAACAGGGTATCTTCAATGCAGTAACCAGTTCTGTTACGTAAAATGGTTTCTTTTATGGCCATGAGCTTTAAACAAAATCATAATTCAGGTTCCATGAGTGAGTGAGTGACTGCCAAAACCATGGTTCCTCTAACCTTCCTCAAACTAGTTTTATGAAAATCAGAATATAAATCATTACCAAAATCATAAACAAGACATGGTTTAAATTTCACCCTTATGCACACAGGTACAGATCTGGAGACTGTGCATTATCAGTAACAATATGAATATGTCCAAGTTTGTTATTAACACTGTCTCTTAACCTACATATTATCAGTAGCAGCGTAACTTCACTTGTTAAGTAGGGCAACCCATACAATTAAGCAACCAAATTAAAGTACTAATCCCAATTCCTTATCGTCGAAATATAGTTCGTTTTTGGGCATTCCATTCGTGTCACCTATCAGTCCGGCCATAGCATCTCCAATTACAAAGCAATTTAACTACAGCCTACACATTTCCATACAGGATACGTAGAGTGGAGCCATGTGCTTCCCACTATACGATTTCGAGTCTCACCTTCGAATCCGCCTCCGCAGCTTTATATAAACATCTACAGAAATGTTCCAAAAGGTCGTGAATATCTTCTTGTTTAATTTCTTCCATGATACATCCAAAATGTCAATTAAATCACAAACGATACGATAAGAACTCATTAGTCAACGTTTCACAAATAAACACCCTAACATCGCTAACACTAAACTCCTTACGCCGAAATAAACCTACATGAAGCTGGTGTACCAACTTTCCTCATTTGGATGTGATGAAGTTCAGCCAACATAACAGCTCTAAAACATCTGGCGCACGTGTAAAATCTATTAATCATCACCAGGGCCCGGATTTTGTTGACCTGAAAATATTTAAAAAATGACCTATAAAATAACCGAAAAAATCCGGAAAAATGACCTAAAATATGACCAAAAAATGTAATATGCAGGGCCCGGATTTTGATGACCTCAAAAATATTAAAAAAATGACCTATAAAATGACCGAAAAAATCCAGAAAAATGACCTAAAGGAGAAAAGAAAGAACACTTCGCTTCCATATTATTCACATTTCAGAAAACATATGAAGAAAAATTTCCTAAAATGGCCAAAAATGACAAGAAATACCCATAAAAGTCCAAAAAATTACCCCCAAAATGAAAAAATGACCTTAAACCTAAAAATGTCAAAAAATGACAAAAAATTACCTATAGAATTTACATTTCTGTAACCAGCAGCTCATATCTGAGATTTATATATTTAAGAGCATTGCATAGGATACAAGGAAAAGAAGATGACATCATCAAAATCCAGGCCCTGATCATCACAATCCAGAGTGATCCAGAGTCTAGGCGGTAAAACAAGTAAGACCGAGGAAGACAGTGAGTCAGTATGATCAGTATCAGTCACTATGACTGGTATAGCGACTGGGTACAGGCTGCTAGGTATGGACTCGATACAGGACAGACACAAGAGAGTTTTCTGGCACACCACAAACACATACAGGACACAAAGTATCCTTGTTATATATTTAATGATCAAACAATTTTTTGCATACTTTCTTCCAAAATTTCAGGTTACATTTGAAACAGTGACAATCTAATTGAGTGATTTAATAGTTTGTAACTAAAAATTTTCATTCTTTTGATTCTTTTTAAAATACGAAATCATTTGTAATGAGATACAGTTACTGTATCATAAATAATATTGTCACGTGTAGAGTGGTACGCATGACGAAAAGAACGGGTTCTAGTTTGGATGATTGAATTTCTTAGTACTGACGTTACATACTCTCTCTCTCTTAATCACACTTAAATGCAGCATTATTCCAGATTTACACAATTTCCAGTTCACCATTGCACACACACTAGGATTCTTTGTCTTCACTAGTCGTCTCCTGGCAACGGATCTCAACACAAACTAACTCTTGAAATCTCTACGAACCCTCCTTGTTATTTCTTCTTCAATCAGTCTGTACTCCTCTGTACTAATCTCTACTCAGTTAATCTTCCCAGTTCACTAAGGACACCCTCCATTCTCGTCCCTGTACTCTGAACTGGTGAACCCTCCTGGACTCTCCTTAGCTGCAAGCGGACTGGTGTTATATAACCATGGCAGGAACAACTCAGAAAACACAGTTCTATTGTTGCATAGCGCAGACCACACAGAAAACAAGATAGCTAACTCATCAGTCCAATGGCTTGCTAACTGTTGCCTAGCAACTGATTGCTTCTTTCTCAACAACATCCAGTTTAACACATGCTTACATATTCCATGATATCCTTCCAAATATGGCAAAAATGTAATTATCTGAAATAGATTTCAGTGAGAATTTTGGATTCTTGGAAGTACCTCTATTATACCAAATTCTGAGAAAGACAAAACTTATAACACTATGTTGTCAGTGAAATTCTACTGATGGTTCTGAAGAACACATCACCTCCATCTTCAGGGTGAAAGAAGCAAGCAAGGAACCAGCTCAGCTTGCCACCTGCTTCTTCCGGTTTTTTGCTTGGTTTACTCTTCAGCCTTCAAGATGTAGGCAATATGATCCTGCAAAACATCTCAGAAGACCTAATTCTTCATAGCCACCTCTGCTTAAACCTCGAATCAAACAAAACTGAATTTGTAGCATTACTGTGTCACATTTCAATTCTCAAATTCCTGAACATTTCTGACCTGTGAACTTACTGAGACTTATAACAGAATTCAAATAGCATCTGTGGGGTCCACACATGCACATTTCTATAGTTAGGTGCTTTGAAGAAACCAAGAAAGGATATAAACTAGATTCATCTGGTTCAGGACAGGGTCTAGTAGCAAGCTCTTGTGAATATAGTATGGCCTACAGATTCTACAATTCAAGGAATTAGATATTTCAGTGACTGTTCTTTTACAACAAGGATTTTACTCCATGTAGTCACTTAGTCAATTAAAAAACATCCAGTTAGTAACCATAATAAAGCCAACTAAGTGCAGATTAACACTTTAAACTCAACTTTTAAAAATATTTTCTACATAAATACAGAGATGAGATGACTGGGTGGAAGTGGACATAGCTTACTATAAGATATTATCCTGATATAAAACTATGTTTACATTTGAGGTGAAACTTCAAAAGCCTTTGTTAGTTGATGTCCCATTTGAGGCTGAACATACATCTCATCAACAAAATTCAGACACATTGATTTTAAATACGACAAATCCTCAACCATTTCATTCATACCCTTACTTAAGACAAAAACGACTATTTTCTCTTTCCTCTGCTCTTAAGATTTGGATTACATTGTCAAATGTAGAGATAGAGAGCTGGTTGAACGCTGTTCTGTCCACCATACCATTAATGAATCAGTTGACCAAATGCCATTTATCTTTAATATAAGCATTTTTATTTATTATTAGCTCATGTTGAATGGTTCACAGGGAAACAAAGGAATAGCAATAAAACAGTTAAGATTGAATATGTATGTATGTAAGGGGTGGGCCATAAAAACCGGCCCCTGCACTGCGACCTTCAATGATCTATTGTGCCTTAAGATTGCAATAATAATTTCTTCAGTAGCAGCACCCACTATAAACTTGTTGATATTTTTTGCAGTTATAATGCAAAAGAAAAATAATGTATTAAGAAGAAAAATTAGTAAAGTGGACAATACTTTGTTTCTGAGTTTGTTGTTTGATGTTTTATTGGCAGAAATTTACAACTAATTGAGAATTTAGAATTGATGTTTGGCACATTATATGTTTTGAACAGATACATTTAAAGACAATTAAGGTGCAGGACTGTTATATGTTGAATATGACCCTGGTGAATCTCAGTGGTTTCCTTTGAAAGAGTAGTTTTAACTGAAACTTTGTTTCATATACATATACATTATTTTTATCTTAAAAAATTAATGGAGTCACAGAATCAAAATTTACTGTACAGTTTTAAAACTAAACTATTATGTTTCAGCAAACAAAGGGATGTTGTTTCAGAGCAGGTAAATTAATATATATTTTTAAATCAGAGCTAGTTCATGCTATATCTACATTCCAGACTTATTTTTGGACCCAAAGTCATCTCATAAAACATTTGATATGAACAGAATCAAACTATTTAATAATTCAGTATGTTAATGTAATAAATAAATATATATTTATGTGGAAATGATATTACAGCATAATGTAAAATGCTGAGATATGTTTATAGCCCTGCATATCAGAATAAGAGCACTGGTTTATATGCTACATATTATAACAGTGTAATACATTCATAGTAATGAATTTTACATTTTCAGAAGTTTAATAGTAAACAAAATTTTCAACAAAACATGAACAAGCAGTAGGAATCTCAAAAACATCCACAATTGGACGATGGTGCGGATTGAAGGGATCCACGCATAACAATTTAACATAAGCATAACGTTGCACACAGAATGACTTGTAACAAGGTGGTAGGTATTCACATTTCTTCCCACCATACCTAAAATAAAAGAACAATTATAAAATAAACACTTCTACAACATCATCACTAGCCAAAAAAGTTGTATCCAAGCTGTCACATATTTTATTAACAATACTGATAAGAAATATAAATTATCTTCACAAGTAATATTAAAGATACAAGACACAATGTAAAGTTACAAATGTCTCATTGTTAGAAATCTGCCAGAAATTTAATGCTGGAATTAGGCATTTTCATACCGAAGACAAAATTTTAGTATTACATTCGTTTATAAATAAGAAACAGATAATTATATTTTAAAAGCAGATACTATTTATGAAATTATACCATTTAATCTATTCATCACATAATATTCATATTTCCATATGAATTTTACTGAAAGTCTGCATCCCTGTGGAGGTTTATCATGAAGTAAAAACAATGTCTCAAATCTGTTGAAAGTACGTAACTATTTAGCACTATTTGAATGCCTCATTTACCACATTCTTGGTATTCACAGGAATGTGATATGCTCATTTTTCGATCTATGGTAAGAAATTGATATGCTTATATAAATATTTATTCCTGGCTCCCATGTCTTTCCATTATGCTGTTAATCCCACATGAATTCAGAAGTCTTTGCAGAAGACATAGTACTCTGATACACACAGAATAAACCGATTTATTTTTTAGGTACTACGTCTTAAATTTCTGAGGATTAAAAGTTGTTTCTATCAGTATGAAATGTGACAGCTTTTACTTACTTGCATAGCTCAACACGAATACTCTGTGGATATTTTTCGGTGTTAACAACTGTTACCCATTCATTCTTCCAGTTTTTGGCCCAACCTGGTCGGATGTATGATACGTCTGACTCACACACAAAGTTGCCTTTGTGTCTGAAATACCCAACACTAATTAGGAGAACATTTCATGTTGCTTATTATGAAGACAGGAGAAGAGCTGAATATGCTTAAGCACTGTGGGAAACACTATACTTGAAACCTGTATTGGCACACTGAATCACAGATCAAACATTACTACAGCCTGTTCTACCACACTGCCTATACTGAAGCTAACTGCAAGACTGGGAAAATATCATTATTATAAAGAAGAAAAATGATTATACAAGAAACATCTAAAATTAATATTTCATTTTTGATGCCATCTTCAAGGAGAGAATCATTTAATGGAAATTATTATAATGACTGAAGAAATAAGTTATGCATAAAAATGATTTAATTTTTAAATGTTCTTATATATGTATTAGAGCCCTCAGACATTCATGAACAGGCCTGCAGTACAAGGCATATTTTTATCATTAAACAATTAGACCTGCAAAACGTGAACCTACCTGTATCCATGGGTATAATTATCATGTGCAATGTATTCCTTTTGAGGGTACTGGTTCAGTCCATGATACATATGATGAATATCATCATGATAATTGTTGATGATATCATGCACAGTATCTCTGGAAAAACAAAAATTGTAAATCATTTCTCTTTCTAAATATAATATAACACTTAACTTCAAATATTTGTTCAAATAACTACACAGAATTTTAATTTTTATAACTTTCTGAGGTAGTAACTAATTTGAATTTTGCATTGTTAATTCCAAAAACTTCACAATAAAGTTAAGTTTTTGATTAATATATGGTAATATTTTATAACAAAAATTAACTGTCACTTACGTGGGATAGTCATTATCATACAAGCAGAAAAACATGTCCTGTGCACAGTTAGGCTTCACACCACCTTGCTTCTGATTATTCCGAACAGCATCCGGTCCTTGGAAACCTGGGACAGGGTTCAAAATTCTTCTTGAACTCTCAGGATAGTCTGGCTCAAAAATGAACAGGGAACATTTTTAAACTGTACAAAGTGAAGTCACAACCCATGACCAAGACAATATCCAAGATAGAAGAAGTAAAATTTAATGGTGTCAAATAGGTTATCACTGAAAAATTATTGCTTATGAACTTGATTCTTGGATGTCTTTCCTTCCTTCTTTTTATCTTTTTCCTTTGGAGACCTCATGAGTCATCACTATTAACATGCCATTAGGTTCTAAATCAAGTTCGTATAACAAAACAACATTAACCTCTGAACTGAGTGTAATGAAAGTGTAGCTGATATGTTTGTCATTATGTAATTTTTGTGTGTAATATAATTGATATGCAGATTGGTCAGCATTCAACTCTTATATATTATTTGTTGAATCTGCATTCTGGAGACAATGGATCAGTGTAATATCTAGACCACATGTGCTTCAAAATTGGTGGTCATTTTTGTTCATTTAGTCTAAGCATGTATATTTATTTGTAAAAGTACAGAATTNTTCCTTCACCTGAGGACGGAAACAGATCCAGTTTCCGAAACGTCGTGTTTTTATTAGTTATCTTAAAAACCAGGACGGTGGATAAAGTCGAAAAACCCAATATATCAAAAAATATTTACTTTTTATATTGATAGAGAAAGAGAGATAGATAGAGAGAGAGAGAGAAATCGTTGGGACATACCAGGTCATATATATCAGTTTCAGGACCTGACCAGTGCTCATCAGCCTGAGTGTTCAGGAAAACAGCCTACCAATTCATGTAACGCCAAAAGTTTTGTGTACCGCTGTAGAAGTGGGAGGTAATAGAAAATAGTCCAGAAATGGCTGAAAACAGAAAGTTGTGAGAGAAATGAAAGATGTTTTATTTCAGGAAGAGGGGCAGAGTAGTAATAAGAGTTTCTTGCTTCCACATTTTCTACCTTCTAACATAAAACAGAATACACAAAAATATTATGAAATTTATTACATTCTCTTGCCTATAAGCACAGTATCGACAGTAGCTGAAGGGGCGTATATTACAGTATAATTCTTGGATCCAATTTGAATCTTCATTCCAAATTTTCTTTTTAATTAAGCTTGTATAAGTGTACTGTGTAATAATTTCTTAATTTAAGTGTTATTCCTTATTTGAAGTTTTAGTTACTACATACACAGGTGAACCCTGATTTATGACCCCTCACGTTTATGATCATTTTTTTATTCCAGAATTATGCTTAAAATCACCTAATTTGTGTCCAGGGCTCATGTTTATGGCTGCATGTGAAGAACTCTATGCGTCACCTCAAAACTAAAGTGTCCTACATAAGTCAGATTTGTGTTTGATGCTGCTTGAACTGCCCATGGTTTGGTCACATTGCTTTTAACTTTAAAGTCTAGTTCTAGTTTCGCTGTGTATTGAATGGTATGTTTTGCTGTCTGCCATGTCTGATAACAGGGTAAGTAGTAAACAGGGTGCAAAATCAAGCAGTCCAAATAGTTACTATAGGATTCTGACGATGGTGTATAACACACTGATATATTGGGTTTTTGGACTTTATCCATCATCCTGGTTTTTAAGATAACAAATAAAAACACGACGTTTCGGAAACTGGATCTGTTTCCGTCCAGTGATTGAGGCTAGCTCTTTCTAACGGACCCAACAGAATAGGTGTTTTCCTTCACCTGAGGACGGAGAAAAGCCCAGACTCCCAAACTGCCAATCAACCAACAAATTTCCCTAAACATAGCCCTCCTCCTCTCGTACGAAGTTTAGATTTCAATAATCCAGATGAGCCAGATGCAGTTGCATGCTCTTCTGCTTTTGCCCAATAACACTTCCTCTACACAGAGCACCAATTATGCAATGAGAAAAAACCGAATTTTCGTTCTATGAAATTTAAAATATATTTTGACTTATTTTTTTATTGAATGTGCATTTTAATTTATTAATAATTGCCAATACAGATGTAATAATGTAATTAATTCATTTTCCCTCAGATGTCAGTCCATTTTAGAAATTTTAGGGTATGAAATGGGTTTCCATTTATGAAATTGTGCTTATGGAAAATATAGATTTGACTTAAAGACAGCTGTCATAATAAATCTTTGGAAAAAGATAATAATTCTCAGTACAAATTCATTATTCAATTTTAACCTCTCCCACTGGAGGGGGCTTTGCTATAATAATTCAAAATTATCTTATCAGAACCATTTGTCAATAGACTGTTTTCTTCATGCAACTATAACAATATTAACATTTAATAATTTTACCATGTTTATCAGTAACAAATTCTGCTTTGGTTGATTGTTTAGAATAGAGAACAACAACTCCTGGAATGCCTTGAACCTCAGGGCTCAAGGCACTAGATTCAGCTATGCTATCCTTTGTCCCTTTTTTTGAAGCTTGATGTCCTCCACCAGCAAAATTCTGAATCCATAGAAAAGAAATCACCACTCGTGGAATCACTTCCCATCCCAGCATCTGAAATAGTGATGTTAAATCATTATGATCATATTAGTATACAGCTGTGTAAATTAACCTATACTGCATTTCCAAGAATACGTGGGTTTATATTTAAAAACAACTTTAAACAAACTCCGTGGCCTGTAGTCCGCAAGCGAACTATACCGACCGAGCGACCGCCGCTTGTCGGCGAAGTTAGTGCCAATTTTTAGCGGACAGAGGGTGCCGCGTGGTCAGCCCAACGAATCCCCATGGCCGATGATTTCGGTTTTATAGACCTGAGCCGCTATTTCCTTGAAATAGCCCCTCAATTATCCTCATTAGGCTGAGTGGACCCCGTTCCAGACTTACACGCGCTCTCTTTTCTGTTCATCACCCAGGTCACGAGGAAACCACCCTCTGCAGGCAATTCTACTTGTGCTTAATTACACTGTAACGGTATGATGAACCCTTTCCACTGAAAAATTTAAACTGCCAGGCCTCCTATTTCTACCTCCGTCAACCACCCTTTTCTTTCCGTCTTTAAAATTCTTCCATCATCCAGACATTGAACTCTGTGTAAGATTTGAGGCTTTCACGGCGGTGACTATGAAGAAAGCAGTCTTCTGGGATTTGGCACCGTGTATATGTGGTGTTAACCGACGTTTCGGAGGAACGTATCGCCTCCATCTTCAGGGTAGAAGAAAAAATAAGAAATCTGCAAGCGAAGAGACCGTGAGAACCGGTAAAAGCAGACACCACATATACACTGTGCCAAATCCCAGAAGACTGCTTTCTTCATTTAGCTCTGTTAATTGCTTCTCTTCCATAGGCATTGTGTAATATATCTAACGTCTCTTAAGAGTTTTTCAGAGCTTCATACAAAATTTTATCGCATCTCTGCCTTAAAACATGCGAAATATCGTTGTCCTCTGCCATTGCAAAACAGCTTTCTTATAACAGCTCGTACAAGCATGCGCTATGGAAAACGACGACCTTCGAACTAGTAGCTGAAGACATTTGAGGAAGCGACAGTGCGCATGCGCCATTGCGTTCAAAGCCACTGAAGACGAGAAGTATCTACAGTCTCAACAATCCCCCCCCCCTCTCATATTTATAAAGCAACTTACAGGAGGAGAATATAATATCCTTCTACACGTGCTTTTACTTTGACTATATGACCGAAGTGTTTTTACTAATATAGAGTCCTGATTAGTCTATTGTCTTTCAGCTCTTTTCATGAGAAGCGACGATTCATGACAGTCACCATCAAAGCATGCTTCTCTTCCCTGACGAGATTCTCTACCTCACAACACAACTTCTGAACATCTATTTTAATAGTATCCCATCTACGTCTCAGTGTCCCATTAGAATCACCCTACAAAATACTGTCTTAAATGTTCCATGTATTCACAACATACTGTTTTATTTTGTTTCGGTGAAAGATTAATTTTTGTGCGGCCATTTTTACCAGTGTGAGAGAATTTGGTCGTTCATTGTAATTTCTCTAGTATCTGCCAAACGCAAACGATCTTGTGAGTATGCGATCTAATGGATCCAACTCCACAACAACGATCATAATAGTTTTATTTACACGTGGAGTTAACCTTGATAGAGGAACATTTGAAAAATATATATTAAGTTCACGGGAGCGAAATTCCTTGAAGATAACTGCAATCATTTCTGTAAAGACCTAAAAGAATATGTTCCGTCCAGGGTTATGGGAAATTTTTCTCTAATCAAAATATAAAATATGGTTTCTGGATGTCAGAATGCGGATTTCCCCACCTGACTATATTAGTTGTGTTGGAATTTATTAAATGACTTTTGAATGATACTACAATTCTAATTTTTCTTTGCTGGGGGGCTACATATGAAATTTTACTTCAAATTCCAAATTTGGATTTCAGTTTCATTAAAATGTAGATCAGCTCATAATGTTTCAGCATTATACATTTGAGTATTTTCTTATTATCCCATGCAGGTCACCCGAATAAAGCAAAATTTTGGTCTATTTAAAGTACTGTGAATATCTGCAGACATATTAAGATTTCATCCTTCAAAAAATTCTTGTGTGTTAGCCATTCCTAAGTTAAAAGAAATATATGCGCCCGCTTTCTCCAGACACGTTACTCCTTAGGGTGAAGGCGAATTATGTTCTCTTGTCTACATGGTTGTACTTCAAGCAAGCAGAGGTTTCCACGGACTGCCTGTTCTTCACGGCCGATGCCCACTGACCACCTCATACGATGTATGTAGCGAAGCCACTATACTGAGACTGCGGAAATGAGCACCATGGGTAAACCTTTTCCACATCTTCCTCCAGCATACTTCTTAAATTCTTCATATTCTTTCCAGTAGTCCAAGTCATTCCATTTGTAAGAATATGGGTATAATTTACAGCGACAGGCGCTTTGGTTCACACATACCAGAGAGTACGAGAATCACAACAGCAGGTAGAAGGTGAGAAGCCTAGAGCGCCATCATCCTCACCAAACATGGGACTTCTTTCCGTGGCCTCAGTATAGCAATGCTCTATACGCGTCTATTCTTATTTT